GATGTTCTTTAGTTTGTATACATGGTCTGAGTAAGATAAGCTATTAACAAAACGTTAGTCAGCAGAGACACAAAATAAGCCCTGTTGGCCCAGTTCTCACCTGGGAATTACAGGTGTTCAACTTCTAAAATCTAAGTGGCATTTAAGTGAAAATTAAGTGCATTAGTATGCATACATGTATAAACTGTACTTAAACTGTACTGATCATTGTTCATTAAGCCTTAGTTTCTCTGTTCAATAGCTAATGAATATTCATAGCAATACTTTTGTTAGGTTTAAAATTGTATCATGATTTTTTTTTCTCTGATACTGCTCTTGTCTCAATATACCAAGTATAATATACACAATGAAAGAATCTGTTTTGGAACATGCGGGTCAAAATCTGCCCACAACACTCCGTTTCTAAATTGAAGTCATTAATATTATTTGTGAAAACTTCTGCCAATAATGAATGCCATTTAAATGTTTGATTGCATCAGAAAAGAGATAATGAAAAACATTGATCAGGCTTTATTGACAGTATTTCAAGAGAGTTTGGTCCCAAGTTGCCTCTTCAGGGTATTAAGTATCCAGATAACTGCGCTGCTTAGAGAAATCCTGTCATACAATGTTCACAGCAGCTTTTTAGACCCATAAGAAACATGGTGAATGGAATGCTATAAAAATCACTTCTGGGAAAATACAACAGCATAGAAAAAACATCATAAATTAAATACAGTACCTAGGTATACTGTTTTTAGAGAAGGGGGCTTTAGGCACAAGTTTGTACTTGTCTGTGCATGACATTTTATCTTCACTGCAGCCTCAAATTTAAAAAAGAACTTACTGAATACAAAAACAAAAAAACACTTCTTTTTTTTTTAAAAATCCACAATAATATGGAACAAAGTTAGATGATTTGGCTTGATGATTGATTTGACATTTCAAATTTCTATTTTGGGGGGCAGGGGAGGAGGGAGGGTCCAAGGAAAAAGAAAGTAGAACTGAAATTACCTTTGTTTACAGAAGTACTAGTAACAAAAGCCTCAGCCCTGTCTCCATGTCAGCAACTCCCTATGCAAAGAAGCCACATTTCCTTCAAAGTGCTTTAAGTCATAATCAAATATTTAACCACTTTGTTCAATGAGGTGCCAAAATTATACAGGCTTGATGATAGTACAGATAAGCAGATGCTTAAGTGTTTGCATGAAGAGGACTTAAATCACAAGATACTGCCATATACATTTTCAACCCACATCTGATTTTATAAAATACATATAAAATAGTTTGTTAATTGGCAGTCTCTACTCCAGAATGTTGCAAATCAGGATGAAGTTATATTGGCTCTGAAGTAAACCTGGGTCCTAAACTGCAAATACGTAACCCTGTACTTAACTTTACCAGCAAGTGTAGCTACATTCATTCCAATTTCTGTTCAATTCATGATAGTAAAGTTAAGCATCTATTTAACTGTCTACAGGATTGGGGCCTGGGGTTGCACCTTCCTGTATTGCCTGTGTCTGCTGTTATCGTCATAAGAAGTATTTATGCATGCTAAATCTACAATGATTATATGAATATCCATAGCTAGTTAGCGACCCAATTGACTGTGTAGGCATCGACACCACAGTCCACCATTTTTTTAACGAGAATGGGGTGAGAGAGTGTCAAAGGCCTTCCTAAAGTTCATAGATCTACTGTTTGGCTTTTTTTTGTTGACAAGTGGTTCACCACTCCCTTAGTTAGTTGCATCATTTTCAATCCTTACCTTCTGCCGCTGAAAATTACTCACAAACTACCCTCACAGATAGATAGCATGACAAGCAGTAGCATTCCCTTTATATGGTCTCTAAGATTTCCAGTTTTTGGTAGACATTGATTTTTGAGGGCAAACTGCTAAAATTCAGCTGCAGAGCAAATGATAAATATAGTTTTGCACCGCAAACCATACATATGATTTGGTGTCATTTTCAATCTGCATATTCTGGGATGGCAACCTAATGCCACACTCAATTCATTTCACATTGAGTGATGGGGCATGTCAGGCATGTACAAAAGTGAACAAGTTACTAAGCCAGGAAAAATGGTATGCCTGAGAGAAAGTTATTTTAAATTATCATAGCACGTTGCTGAAAAAAGAAGACCAACTGTACTGCTTGTTGGAGGATTTACATGGTTTAAAGAACAATATTTTTAATGTATTACTGCTATTTAGCTGTATTTGTAAAACATCTATTACTAGACCTCTTGCAAAGTTTACAATTCACATAATCAATACAATTATAAATAAGCAAATAGGTTACCTATATATAAACCAACCAATAGGTTACTCATATAAACCAACAAGACTACACTCCCACATCTAAAGAAAGTAATAAAACAATATTGAATATTACTGCTTCACTGTCACTAAGCTCCTCAAACATTCCTCTCCCCAAAAGATGAAGATGAGTGCTGAGTTTTTGCAAATCTTTTCAAAGGTTAAAAATGAGAGTTTGGTTAAACTAAGCAGGATAAATGAATGTTACGTATGTTTCTGAAT